GTATGTGAATATCACAGTGTGAAGTAACTTCCTTGAATAACTCAAAAGTGAATATAGACAGAGTAAAAATACATAGACATCTCAGACTGCCAGCTCTTAGTTGGAATTATTAATATATAAAGCAAAGTAGTAACTCAGAATATTTTCAGACCCTTATGTTTTCAATGCAACTTAAAATTTTCAAAATGTCAATCTTCCTAACCTTTCTAACAGTGTGAAAATACTGCTAATAAGAATTAATAGCTAAATCTGCTTATTTTCATATGGGATCCCATCTTTTGAGGTCACTACCATGTTATCAGATGAAGGGTGGTAAGGGGTTATATTTAATTCTAAGTAATGTGCCTTTAATCTCATCCTTCACCTGATATTTGAGCCATATATGAAACTGAAGATTGTGGGTTTCTAGCTGGAGAATGTTTATTCTGTAGAATATTGCATTCTGAAGCTGTTAATTGCAGCATTTCCATGCTTTCTTCTGGCTTTCTTGCATTGTTAGCAAGAAGAGTTTGTGGGAAGCTCCACAGTTCTTTCTAGAAGCACTTTAGGATTTCCCTGGGTATGGTTGATACCTTGATCAAGAATAGTCTTATCAGCTGGCAGGTATTTTCTAAAGAGGAAGAATCATTGTGGTACTTAATATAATCCTGTTGTTACAGCAATTTTTCCAAAAGATTTCAGCAGACTCAGGAAATGTCTGTTGTGTAATGACCTGTACAAGCAATGGCATTCTTTTCAAAATGTGAGCATCTGTTTCAGACCTGAAAAAAATTTTTGTTCTAAAGAAAAGAATAGATTTGTTGTTCAGAAATTCCACTTGGAAACAATAATATGACTTTTCAAAATGAAGTGGCTTAAAAAAGTAAAAGGCAACGGACGGTCACCAGGTATGGGAATGTAATTATTTATTATTATGCAGGTGCTCTAATTTTTACAGAAAACATTAATAAAGATTGATGGACTCTACTGCATCTAATTACTGTGTCTAGTGATGCCGAAGATGGTGAGCTGACTCCAAACATAGCTGCCAGAAGTCAAAATTTATTTTTCTCTTTTCCACTCTTTAATTCTCCTCATACCTGTCCAATATAAACTTGCTTATTACACCTTCTGAATCCTAATTAGGAGTGGAGGGCAGTAGGCCCTGTGTGGCTATAAGTGAAGGCAGTTACTTGAAAGAATTGTCATTTTGGTTGTCATTTGGTTGCATAACAACTACATCTGAACTTGAGTCTTAGAAATTACAGAAAGTGAATCGTTAGGATCTTACATCTTCAGTCTTCTAATGCAATAGGTACAAAATGTTTATTATTTACTAATGTCTGCTTAGTTAAAACATCAGAAGCAAGTCAGCAATAAGAAGGCATGGGATGGAATGGCAGCTATTCATTCTTATATAAATGTATATAAAATCTCAGTTTGCTTTAAATCTTTATAATTTCTCCTGAAATAAGCACAAACCTGGAAGGACATTCAGTCTGGTTTGATTTTTGGTATTGCTGGTTTTTTTCCATTGTTAACTTTTTATCTTATTAGAGAGGTGTGATTTAAGGAAAGGATGCACAATAAAGATGGAAAAGATTAAACAAAAAGTTGACAAGTGACTTTTTTTTCAAAATTATTTGACAAAAATTGCCCAATATGTTAACTTTTTTTTTTACAGACACAAAAAAAGAATTGTCAGGCTTCCAAATTACAGATGAAAAATTTGGGAAAATTTCATGAAAGCCTGTTCTCAAATCTTTCTTTCTCACATTTTTCCTTTTTTGGAAAATTTACCAACCTTTATACTTCTGTTCAGTCTAGTTGGCCATCCCACAGCTCTGCCAGTACACAAACTAACATGCTCTTCCTCAAACCTTTCTAGATCAGAGCATTAAGTAGGGTGTTCCCCCTCTTCCCTCCTTCTTTTGTATAATCCTTTTCCAGTAGGACCTTTGCAGATTGTGGCAATTAACAGAGTGCTATGCCTGGAGCTCTGAAGGCATTTTAAAGCTCCCACTTCTGAAGTATCCACATCTTAATTTGCTGGAGTGTGTGCTGCACTTTCAACTATGTCAGCAAACCACAGAAAAGGTAAATACATTTAGAAATATGCTTATTTTTTCTTGTCTAATTTTCATGGTAGCATAGTGAGGGACATTGGGATCTGGAAGACTTGGTTCCTATTCCTCATACTGCTCGTGTTCTAATGGGAAATGTTGTTCAAAAATTAAGAACTGTATTTATTACCACTGTGATTTGATGTTTCTCTAGAGCCTGTAAGTCTGTAAAAATGGGAGTGATACATTTCACCTGAAACACTGCATCTACTCAAGCACTTTTTTTTTCTTTTTAATTATGAAGTGGATTGTTATTCATGATGGTCCTTGCCAAATTTCTGATCACTGGAGAGGCAGAGCAGTTTTGCAGATTGACCCTCCTGGAGATGTAAGTTACTTCTGATTTGGCTCTTCATTTGCTCCAGGGAGTTCTTTTCCATTTTAGAAACAAAGAGTTTATGAACTGATTTTCTCATTTCCCTAATAAATTGAAAGCTTTTGAAAAGTACAGTCTTAATGCCAACTTGAAGAGGATTTGGGTTAGATTTTGTGCTTTTCTCTTCAGTGAACAATGCGATGCATGAAAAAATTGGTAACATAAATTGAGAGCAAGTTTTAAACTTTGCAGGATTTTAAGACTTTGCATCTATGTACATAGAACAGCAAAGTCTGAGGACACTTTGGGAATGCAGTCTCTGCTTTCTAACTTCTTCAGGCAAATATGTTTGCACTAAGTACATACTGCAGAAATCATTACTATTCACAGAGTGAAGTTTGAAAAATGATTATGTGGTAATGAAAAGAAAGCAGTAGAAAAAAGCCTGCCATTGCTGATGACAGGCAAATGAACAACATTTGGAAATGGCACTCCAAAAGAATTTTGGATTACTGTTCTTTAATTCTTGATTGTGATAGCAAACACTTAAAAAAAGCACCCTGCCTTTTTATAATCAAGACTTGTTGTGCTTGAAGGACTTCTTGATTCAGAAGTTGTGCATAGGGACATGGAGGAAAACAAAGCAGAAATAACAAACATTTAAATTATCCAAAGCCTCATATAAGAGCTTGTCCGTATGCAGCAGTTTTTAAAAGCAAAACCGAAGCCTTATGAGTCTATCAACATGAGTTTCTTTAATCTCATTTCCATTGCTTAGTAGTACGTGGTGTTGCATAGTTCATTAAACAAGTGAGACTTTGTACTGATTTTCTGAAATCTGCTGTAAAACACACCTTAATATTCTAGTTTCTTTGTTCCTAATTGCTTTTTTGCCCTTTCAGTTACTCCTGAGACCGAGCAAATAATACTAACTTCAAGTAACTTTCCAGTTAACTTAAATTGTCTTGCCACTTTAAATAGTCTTACCCCTTTATTCCTGCTAAAACAGTCTTCATTGTTGGCAGCTCATCAAAGATATTATGCCTCTTTGAGAACAAATCAGATTAGTTGTAAGTTCACTGACTGTAAAGAATCCAGCTTTCATGCATGTAAATGCTTCTCCTTTGAGCATTTAATGATAATGATAAGGAAAATCCAAGAAAATGAAAGATGGAGAGGCTCCAGTTTCACTTTTCTGAAAGTTTTTTCAGTTTTCTCTATCAGAGTTCTATTTTAAATGTTATTCTTTGATTACAGGTCTGATCTGACCTGTCCAGCAGTGAAGGATCTTAGCTTGAAGGAGGCTATGTTTTTTACTGAGGATCAGAGCTAAAGCTGCTGCAGGTTCTCCTCACGTTGCCTCAGTGCCTGTCTGTTCACACCACATGGCCCAGCATTTGGTTTATGCTACCTTGGCTAAATAAACCCCTGGGATTTACAGTATGGCTTCAGAAAACAAGAATCATATGGAGATATTTGCTTTAAATGTTTGCACGTTCCAGTTTTTAAAATACTACATTTGAGGATGTATTTGCTCACTGGCAAGTCCATGTTTTGTTTCTTCTTGTGGGACAGGGGCTGGTTTCAGTGGAGGCACAAACCCCTCTGGACTGACTCTTTAAAAAGGTGTTCAGTTCCCTCTTGTTGACAGTAAGGATCATAGTGGGTGTCTAAATGGTTGTTATAAGCTGCATTGTAATGAGAATTTTGGGTTCCTTGCTAAGTGGAATAATTTATATTCACTGCCACTGTGGATGTGCCTTCAAGGTGACAGATTCATGCCTTCATGCATTACAAACCTGCATCATGCCAAAAAAGGGATATGTTTAACAGAATAGTTATTCATATGAGAAATGCATTTGGATGTCTTTTATCTTGCTACAAACCCTCAAGTTGGAAAAGGATGCAAAGCTTGCTGTTGAATCTGAGGGTAATTTGGCTTTGAGTGTAGAATTAGGCCTAATATATTGTTCAGTTTTGGGTCCTAAACAAAATTAGAATTCTGGGATAGATAGGCTATCAAATATGTAGATGTGTTTCCTGCCAGTTCATCATCAGAAATGGGCAGCAACTGCTTCAAAGGGTTACCTGTTTCAAGTGTTGGAGAGTGTTTTCTGAAACAGGAGAGTAACAGACACATGAGTCTCCTTCATTCTCAAATCTGAAACTGCTAACTGATGGACTGAGAAATAAGGAGAACAACCTGAGCTCTTGAGGACTGACGTGGGGTTTTGGCTCATCAATAACCATGTCTGGGAGGTAGAGGTGGCAGTCACCTGAGTTTATGCCTCTGTCAAAGAGCTTGGGGGGGGAAAGGGGGCTGGGCTTTTGTTGTTTCTTTCTTTATTAGCAAAATATAGGAGCTGACTTGCTGTGGGGCAGGCTGGTGCCTCGCTTGTTCAACCTGAAGAAAATAAGGAAAAAAGAAAGGATGGAGAGTTGAAAGTAATGGAAACAGGGAGAGAGACAGGGAGGAAGTGTGGTTTTGAGTGAGACAGGAATAATGTTAATAAGAATACATGAGATCTTTATGTCAATGTAAAGAGTACTTAGAAAGACCAGGGTGTGTGGCATACATAGAGTTCTTTTCTTTGTTTTGGCTTTGTTTATTTTTGATAAAGCATTTCGCTTCCAGTAACAAGTCAAATTCTCCAAGGAGACCTGTAACAGGAATAGAACAAGCAAAAAATTAAAACCTGGTCCCAGAGGTATATGGCTTCCATTTCACTCCTCAGGGAATAGCAAGGGGGAATACACTGTGCTTGGGGTAGGGTGAGTTGTTTTCTGTGTTTACCATGATGTACAACAGCTGAAAAAAGCAGTCTTGTTCACTGACTTTTGAGGCAAGGCAATAGGTTTGCAAATGCCAGCCACAAGAACCTCTCCATTAGTAAAAACTATCTCTGCAGAACAACTTGCCCTTTTAGAAAGTGATCCTAGGGTTTATTTGTTTTTATTTTAACAGCCCTCCCTCTGCTTCCTAGAACCAAAGTGTTAAGAAATAATAAAATATTAATGCTAAATATAAACAGAAGGCACATTCACCAACCCAACTAAAGGTTTACTGAGCTTGTGCTTGTTTTTGAGAACCTGTGACGTCCTAAGTATTTAAACTGAAAGAGATTAAGGGAAATGTGGAAAAACTGCTGTTTGACATGATCAAAAAATGCCGTTGATCCACAAGTAACATGCTTAAACCCTCAAGGGGAAAGCAGGAGAAAAGCGAAAAGAGAGAGAAAAACTATGGTTATATCTTTAATTTTGTATTTTGAAAGTTAGAGCTTGTTCAGTCTTTCAGGGGTTTTTGGGTGTTTTTAAGCTAATTAAAAAGGCTTATAGCCATAGTAAATTTACAAAATGTTCAAGTTGAAAATTAAATTGACTGTTTTGAAAACAATTACTTTCAGAGGGTAGAGTTCTTTTTACCTCTGACTTCTTTCCTCTCTTTTTCCTCTGGCAAGGACACACAAAACATGCACTCTGTCAGCTTAGGGTATTGGAAAGGATTTTTAAAATTCAAACAGCTTTTTGTTGAAAAGTTCTGGTTTTGAAAGGAATACCTTTGCAGAGTTAAATTTATCCTAACTTTAATGGCTCTATGTAATTTCAGTATGTTCTCTGTTATTTTACCTTACCTAATTTTAGGTGAAGTGTCTTCATGGCCCTGGAGAGGACATTTCACAGTCTCAGTGTGCAAGCCTATACTTAAACATATTCTGTACTTGCACCTAAAAAGACAAAAAAACAAAACAAGCAAAGAAAATGTAGCTGCTGCAAGTTTAAGATTGACAACTAGTTGGTTTCTGTCACCTTTTTTTTTCACTGCCAGTGTAGGAAGCAAATAACTATTTCAATAGCAGCATTTACCACATTGCCTCAAGGAACAGAGGCTGAGAAGTCTCTGTGCTATAGGCCAGTGAAGACTGTGATAGTGACACAGTAATTTATATGTGCCTTTTCTTTCTTTTGACTTAGAACATAGCACTTTTAAAATTATATTAAGCTTATCCAAGCTGAAGGTGAAATAAAGGCATCTGTTTTCTAAAATTTGTACTGATTTTAACTAAATTATTTTTCCTTCACACCATAGGTTTGTTGGTCTGTGTGTAAATAAAAGATAATTTTATAAGATTGTCTGGATAACAGAATTAATTTTCTGTTTTCTACTGTGGTACCATAATAGCAAGCTGGACTGAGATTCCCCCTCCCCCCAGATTTCTCCTTCCACCTGACCTTTGTGATTATCATATTACCTGGAGGACAGCAGGTTTTGTTAGTCAGATGCCATTTTAGTAAATGTGAGTGAGTAAAGGCATTTGATTCGTATGGAGATAAAGAGCATACCAATCATGTTCCACTCCAGTGATTTTAAATCAGTTAGACAGCCTGTTCTTGTCAGCCCATATCCTGCAGTGTCTCAAAACAAAATGTCATTTGTGAAAATGGTGTTAAACAGGCATTTTTCTATGTGTGTACCAGTGCCCCACTTATGTGTGGGGCTGGTCAGTGGAACTGACCTCCAATAAAAACATTTCTGATGCCACTATTATACATTGAAAAAAAACCTTCCTGCATTGCATCCAGCAGAGATCTGCTACCATCCAGAAGGAAATGCAAGCGTTTCCATTCTTCCTGTAACCTCCAAGGACCACGTGTGCAACATCTTGTGCTGATGAGTAGGTTTTTTACAAAATGGGTTTGTAGAATTATACTTTGTGCTTGTCTTAAAGCCTTTGCTCTCAGTGTCCAGTGGGTACATAATCTGTGTCTCTCTTGCTTTTTGTTTTAGTCCTATGCACAGTGCTTTCAGTGAAAAGTTTTGTCATAGGAAGATATGCCTTCCGAGAGCTCAGAAAAACAGGAAAAGATGAATCAAGGAGTGTTACATTAAAAGAATAGTTTTCAAGTAAATATTTTTAATTATGAGTATCTCTCTCATGATTTTAGAATGCATATATGTAGTTTGTAATTTCTTATCTAAGGGTCCTTGAAAGTCCCATTTTAAAGTTATTCTAAAGTACTTTGATTTATGGATAATCATCAGATTTCATGACTTAGGAGGAAAATCAGTAACGACATTCAAATCAAAGACAAAATTACTGAGGTGAGAATAAGTTAAAATATGTTATAAGGTCCTGGATACTACCAAACTCTATCACATCATTTAGTGAAATATTCTGTGGCTAGTAACTCTGGAGAGAATTCAGTTAAAAATGACTAACCATTTCGAACTAATAGGATTTTTTTTATTGTTAATTAATCAGATAATGGGTTCCTTTTGTCACTCTGCAGCTTATGTAGGATATAGGAAATATACCTTCTACACAGAGCCAAGAGTTTATTTTCTAATCTGTGCTGCAGTTTTATTCTAGGTTTGTAGGTAGTTTGTTTCACATAAAATAGTTTCATGTCAAGGTTCTTAATTGCAGAAATATACCAAAAATATTGTACTCATAGGCATTGCACCACACAACTGCACAAATCTGAGCTCCAGTGGATGGAGGGAACAGTAACCTGGTTGTTACCTGCTGAGTAGCAGCAGGATTTTTTCTTTTACCTGCTGGGTAACAGCAGACTTATCTTGCTCTGCAAGATAAATCAAAGCTTCATGCTGGCCAAGACACAGCCAGGCAAGACTGAAGGCCTTACAGAGTTCATACCAATCCTGTGGCCTGCCACTGGTTATGGCAGTACCATGTTTGTTAGTCAGTGCTTCCTCCTGCGTGGGCATGGGGCAACCCCCACCTGCTGGAACCTCCGTGTGGCGCGGGGCTCCCCTTCCCAGGCGGCCTCTGGTGGGCGTGCAAAGGAGTGAGAGGGGGGGAGCTTCGCCGGCCTGGACTGTGCCATCGTGGGAGATGAGAGGGGGAGCCTCGGAGCACACAAAGGAGAAGGACAACTCTAAACTTGGGTAGGTGGAGCTCGTTTAGCCCTGTAAGGCCATCCATCTAAGAGAAGGTCACTCTAATTAAACTTACGTCCTGAGGACCTCGCTGCCATCGTCCAAGCTCGCTCGGCCCTGGCAGATGAACCTCAGGATTAAAGGGTGGGTTCAGTTCAGCACACACTGTGTCTCACCTAAAAAATCCACTGCACAGGCTTGAAGGCCTTACCCACATTTGCAAAGCCAGGCGAGGGTCAAAATGGCCATCTTCTACAAATGCAGTCACACAAAGATCAAAAGACAAAGGCATATATACCTATCTCCAAAGGTGCACCCAAATTAACTCTAGCATGCTTCCCAAATCTTCGTTTGCAAAGCCTAGCCATGATGACTTCTTCCTGCAGTTCTGTAATTCTACCTCTTTGAATTTGTTCTTCAAGCTGCTTGTTATCTTCGTAGAATCACATTTGTGCTTGGGATTGCCTCATCCCAGGTGCAGGACCTTGCACTTGGCCTTATTGAACCTGATGAGACTCCTCTGGGCCCATTTCTCGAACTTGTCCAGGTCCCTCTCAATGGCATCCCGTCCTTCAGGGCTGTCAGCCTCATCACTTGTCTTGGTGTCATCTTTATAGTTCTGTATTCCCTGAATTATGTCTAAGCTTCTGGATTTATTGAAAATTCATCTAGGTGAGTTTGGACTTCATTTTTACTGTGCATGTTTTCTCTCACTCGGTTTTATAGCAGAGCCCTTTCTCTGTAGTGGGCCATTGAATAAGGCAAGTTTGTATCCTGTTGTTAATAATTATATTAAATCAGCATGGCTCAGATGTGAATGAACTGATGACCCGGTTCCATGGTGGCTCCTGAACCCTGTTGCACCTCTGGGACTCAGCTGGCAGTGGCGAGCGGGGTTTAGAATCAAATTTCTTTTGTAGTCTTTAGCAATGGGTGCTAGCATGGATCTTTAACATAATTTATTTTTTTCACCTTTTCAACATTCTTTCAAGTCTTGTGCAGCGTTACTGAATTTCGCAGTTCTGATGTTTTCCTTATTGGGGTATTTTATATTTCCAGATATATTCTTCACCCTCCTTGCAGCTTATCTTTTCTGTTACAGTGAAACCATGCTTATAGTGCTGTGTGGTGAATAATGCATGCCTTTCTTTTTAACCCTTTGTCTCTTGTTTCTTCTGGCACTTTCTCTCTTCCCTTCACTCACTTACATTCATACTTTCCTCATACAAGTTCTAACATTTCTGTTGCAACACGCCTTCTGAAAATGTTCTTTTAACAGGCCTCTCCTTGCCCTTGATCCATGCAGAGATTGTGTCCACGTCAAAAGAATCAAACTGACCCAAGTGTTCAAATGAACTGCGTTAAATCCATTAGTCTGTGTGTTAACACAGAGCTCAGTCAGGGTTTAGCTACACGACTCCCTTCTGTCCTCAGCAAACACATGCAGTTGATTCCTGCAGTGCCCTCAGTGCCCTTAATCTGATTTGAATTACTGGTAGTGGAAAGGGCTGAGTGTCTATTAGGAGTCACATGAATGTTTGAAAGCAGCTTCTAGAACTTAATTTGTCTTCAAATTATTTTGGTATGTTACCTGGACTGGCAACAACCTGCTAAGTTATTCCAGGGAAAACAAAATAGTCAGGAGAACCCCAAACTTCTGTTGATTAGAATTTATTCCAGTTGCCTTTGTGCATACTTACCATGGCAAACAAACACAGCTATGGCAATATAGGGGGCTTTATTTTAAACCTTGTCTGATATTTGTGGCACATTCCTATCGGTAGGGGTTCACCGTCATTGCTGTGACCTTATAGATGGCACGACAAAGGACAGTGCTTAAGAGTGAAGTTGTGCATCCCTTTGGTGTCTGACTGGTTCAGCCTGCAAACTTCAGAAGCTGAAGTTTTGTTCAAAAGAACATGTCCTGCTGGTACCATTTGTGTTGATTTTTAGTGATGTTTTCACATAAGAATTCTGAGATAAAATTGTCTAACGTCTGTGAGGAGCCCTTGTAAAACAGTGATATGTAAGAAAATGTTTTATTTTTGTATCTTGCTTTTTAGATAGAACAGGGTAGGACTTCCTCTGAGAAGAATTCTGGACAGAGAGATACATAAATCATCTTTTCCTGTCTCTTATGAAACCTTGCCTGATGATAAGGAACATGCTAGTTTAAAAGTGGAATGAATTTTATTCCTCTGATAGCAATGTATTGATAAAAAGAAAATGGGAAATCTCACCCCACTGAAGTCACTGGAAGCCACTGACAGCGTCCAGACTGTCTGAGTATTGATGCAAAAGTCGTAGGAGTCCTGACCACCTCTTAAAAGTTTTCTGGTTTTCTGTAAGCCCTACTATGTCCACAAATCATCACTTAGAGAGAGAAATATAATTTGAAAAAGCAGTGTAAAGTATCAGCTTGGGATAATGGATCTGAAGATTTTTTATAATGGTTGTAGGGCTTATTTTGCACTGTAGAATCAGAGAACCCTGGAATTGTTAGAGTTGGAAGGAACCTTAAACATCATCTACTTCCAACCCCATTGCCGTGGGCAGGGAACCTTCCATGAGACAGGGTTTTTCAAAACCCCACCCAATCTGGCCTTGGACACTTCCCAGGGGTGGTTAGTCCACAACCTCTCTGGGCAACCTGTGCCATTGCCTCACCACCCTCACAGGGAAGAACTTCTTCCTAATACCTAATCTAAATCTAGTCTCCTTTATCTTAAAGCTGTTGCCCCCTGTCTTGTCACTCCATGCCCTTGTGAAAAGTCCCTCTTCAGCGTTCTTTTAAGTCCCCTTTAGGTACCACAAGGCAGCATTAAGGTCTCTATGGAGCCTTCTCCTGGCTGAACAGTCTCAGCTCTCAGTTTTTCTTCACAGGTGAGGTGCTCCAGCCCTCTGATCAACTAGACCTGTTCCGACAGGTCAACATCTTCCTTGTGTTGGGGACCCCAGAGCTGGAATTGTAATGTATGTGGACACTACTGTGGTGAAAAAGGTGTGCAGAAAGTGCTGGTAGCCCTTTCAGCTTTCTGAGAGAGGTAATAACATGGTTACACTTCAGTTTTTTGTATATTTGTATATCCACTGAGAACTCGGAAGATGTCACATTACATGCCTGATCACTCAGGTTAAAAGATGATAAGAGGCTGTGTGGCTCGTGCCTGATAGCAGGCATTGCCCTTTCTGCTGTCTGTGTTTGATATGCTTGGCTAGATCATTAAGGTTAGAAAAGATGTCACAGAGTGCTGGAATATTTTCAAAATTTTCCATGCTAGAAATGTGTGATATATTAAATCTGATACTTGTCACAACTCTTTTTTTTTACATTTCATCCTGCTACTTGTTGCTATCACCAGCACTGTAAATACTTCCATTCCTTTGTTAGAACGAACATGTTGTTGTTTTGCATCTTGGCACTTGCATATCTCTTTGCAAACAGGCCCTTAAATGAAAAGATCCTTTGGAAAGTAACTCTTATCAGAACAAAGCTGTAAAGTAATTTATACTTCCCAAACACTTGGAAAGCACTATCATGTGTTCCTTATTGTTTGGGGAAGTTGACTGTTTAGCTGTCATAGTCATTCTCTTATGAGCAACAGTTGTGATAATTGTTGTATTGCTTATCTTGGGACTCTTTTATGCCAGTCATTATTATTGTGACTTTGCTCCATGGGACCAGACTCAATACAGTGGATCTTCTCCTCCCCAGTGTCATCCATTTCTCTCTCAATTTCCTGCTGTCTTTTTTCTGTTGTGCCAGAATGTGTGAGGAGGTGGGGTTGGAGACATTCCAGTTTTGTCAGTAGGAGCAGGTAAAAATGTTCAACTTCTGCGTACAAGGAGAGATCCTCTGGGTCCAATTCCTGTTCGTCAGCACTGGGAGAGTGATTGCACACTCATTAATACCAGATCAGTGCACTGTGGATTGCCAAGCAGTGGGAAATTGGTCTGGGTAAGGTGGTGGGCCTGTGTCTGTGATTCTGCTGAATTCACTGGTTGCACAATTTGGCTCTTCTATGGCTTTTTGGCAGCTGTAAGAGGACAGGCAACACTTGATTCAGAATGTAGCCTGCAAATGTAGTTAACCACTGATACTGTTTTTAACAATTCTCAATTACAGCTATGCTTAGTGCCTGAAAAATGCATGGAGACTCCAGGTCTGGTACCCTTCATCCAGGGGTTGGGAGTCTGAGAACTGAACTTTTAATGAAACGGAGACCTGATCTTAGCTGTTGCTGAACTCTGCTGTTTATGGAAGTTTTGTTTCTGCATTTGGTGGCTATGCAGTTACATCAGCACGGCTTTGAAAAATTCAGTCCTGGCCATTTTCATGACAGCTGTGCTCTCCACAGGGGTCACTAATGCATCTGACTGCAATGCGACCAGAAGCATTTCCCTGTGAATGCACTTGTCATTGGCAGTGGAAGGCAACAATTAGGTCTGTGTTTGGACACTTCTAAATGTTGAGCAGCTGAGATTAGCTGTGGAAAAATTGTCTCATGGACCCCTCGGGTGCCTGGTCTGCAGAGTTTGGATGTCTTTTGTGGCACTTCCTGTGAAAAAGTGGGCCCAGGCTAAAGCATCTCTGTTTTGGAGGAGTCAGGTTCAGCCCCTGGTCTGTTGGCCGAGATGCCAGTGTCACACAGATGTTGGTTGTTTCCTTCTCCATTTACAAGGGTAAGGAGATGCATAATGGTGGCTTTTAAGCTAAGCTGTGGCCATGTTGTATGATTGGTGCCTGGCTTTTTAAATGGGATGGTAACATCACATGGCTCCACTGGAAGCTCTGAGAGGAAACTCGCAGCTCTTATGATCCCATCATCTGTTGAATAATCGTGGTTATGATAGAGTTATGAATGGATAATTGACTCCTGATATTAACAGCTAAATGAGCGAACCTAGAGTTATGAAATACTGGCTTAA